ATGATGTAATTACAAGAACTGTACACAGCCACACACCTGATTAAAAAATCTAATTTGAATATTTTTGGTTAAATACATTTTTTATTTTCCAGGTATGCTTTGATTACTTTTATCTACGTAGTTTGATATAAATGATGACTTCTTCATAAAATTCGGGAATAATATTTGAACTTCTACAAAGACTATTATTTCTTGTTCCGTTTCGACCAGGAGAAGGGATATCATTTGCAGTTTCGTCCATTTCCTTCTTCTCTTACAATGAGTTATTTACCATCCCTCAATAACTACATTTGGTACTAATTTTTCTTTTACTTTTTCTTCCACCTTATTGGAACTTGATTGTCTATTCCACGCTAGTGAACCAGATTTTATATGATTAGTCTTGTTTATTCATCCAAATAATATTATTGATATTCAAATGGTTAGTGCTAATGTAAGTTGGTAGGGTAAACTTTACATTGCATTTTCAATTAAAATAGTTAAATCCAGATTATTAACATTCTTCTTCTTTTGTCTTGTTTTTGGTAAGGATTTACTGCTCCGTTTGATTTAGGATAGGCCTCAATAACATTTTTAATCTGGAACATGGAAGGAAAAGGATTAGGAACATGAAAGGAAGGATTCGTAGATTTAATTATTAGTTTTGATTATTAATACAACAACTTCTGTATCCAATAGTCAATGTTATTAGTTAAACCTGGACATTTTTGACACTCATACAAAGTTCTAAATACCTAGGTTCTTTTTTGAGCCTCTATGTTACTTTTATCTAATGAATTTAAGCTAGCTAAATAAAATAATAGTTTAGCTAAGACACATTTGGTGTAATAAGTAGGAAGTTTGTCTCAAATCGGTAACGTAGGCCTAATACTTTATTTAAATATACGGTTGGTTTGTTGGTTTATCTGGCATAGGTTTAAAATTGTTGTCTAATAATTTTGTAAAATAAGTAAGCTAGTAAACAACCGGTATGCAAAATGTAACTTTACAAATGTATGAACAGTTAAAAAGATTGTTAAATTACAACTGTTTATTACTGACTACTACAGAACCGTGAGGGGATATGAATGTAAAGAAGTACTGTTATAAGTATAAGTCCCATGAGCAATCTAGTAGAATACAATAGTGGTGGGGACTAGTCTCAACCCAACAGTCTGGCTTACGAATGCAAGACTAATAAATAACGCTACTAACTTACAACAGGTATTTGAATGACCATCACCTGAATCAGAAACTTTTCATTTGCACAATACATAAATATCCTTCAACATCAAACCCCTTAGCCAAATGTATTGTACAAAAATATACACTACTAATTCAATTAATCTCCATTGCAACCAACATCAGCACTAACATTAACTAACGCTACGCAAAAACTTGAATGTTTCAGTAACAGAAATGGTGACATACCAATAGAATGGTACGTGGGCAAGAAACTTCTCACCAACTCACTTCTAGAGAATGAAACCAATGGCAGGGTAAAGATTGATGAATACAACAGGATAATAATCCAAAGTTTATTGTACGAAGACAGCAGGGTGTTCTCGTAAGTGACAAATGCTTTATTTTCAGGCAATAACTAATAGGTAGAGGTGTAGGAATAGCTTAGTTCTAGGGATGGTCAAGTCTCGAAATTTCGGGAAATTTTCGGGAAATTTTAAATCTTGTTACACGTTACACGTTATCGAGACAAGAATAAAAAAAAAAAAAAAAAAAATTAAAAAACGCCTGCAGAATGTCAATGCAATACCCGCAATACAGGAGTGTGTTGTAGTTGCGTTTCCTTTGCGAAGGCGTTCTTATTTAATTAATTCTTCAAAAATGTAAATATTACTTTAATTATTTTAATAACATTTGAGAAGTTTTGTTAAGCGTTAGCAGTGTGAGGAATGTTTTATTACTATAAAAAAGTCAAAACAAGTAACTATTTTATAAAAATTAATATTTTCTTTTATGATTTATTTTATTTTAGGATAAGTTGAACTCTATCCTAACTGATATCACTATGTTTCCTAATCGTAGGCATTTTTAATAATTTAGGTGTGATTAATTAAAAAATGTTATGCTGATGTTTTTTTAATAAAAGATAGTAAATATTCTTGCCTATTATCATTATTTTTGTATTTAAACAGTCATCTAACAATGTTACAAAATCAGGTAAAAATTCCGAACGTGCATTTCCCGTTGTGTATGAGAAGGGAAATCCCGTCTCGATCTCGTCTCGAAATTTTATGAGAAATAAAAAATCTCGTCTCGAACTAAAAATCCAATCTCGTCCATCCCTACTTAGTTCGGAACGTACAAGTGCCACGACGGGCAAAATATAATTTTTGAGCTGTTTCACAACGTCCAATATAAAGTATTTGACTGTTGCACAATGTCCAAATCTCACCATGTTCAAAATTACAGTAACTGCAATAAACATAGTATTTCTACAAGCTTTGGACTTCATGGGATTGGTCGTCATGAAACATCACACTTTACACTCTTAAAAAAAGTATCAGTTTCTTATCAGTTGCACCACGTCCAAAGCCGCTGCCACTTATTACACAGCATGACTACACAAAGCTTAGAAATAAGCTTGAGGCTCGAGCTATTTTTTAAAAACTTGATTCAATGCCCAAATCGAAAGCAATAAGCTCAGATGGGCCAAGTAAACAAAAGGGAGCTGGACTCCACAGTAAAAACTAGAATGGTGGCAGTAAACGATCCACACAACGTCCAAGACGGCCATGAAGTGATCAAATTTCAAGAGACCTTTTTTTGTGGGGAGGAGGTAAAAATGCATTCACGCACCTCTGCTCCGCACCTACACGAAAGCGTTTCCCGCACCGGAATCGAAGATCGGTACCCTCTTGGGGTCAAGGACTCAGATGGCCGCCGTCCCGGAAACATCAGGGAACCACTGAGGAGAGTGTCGGTTCTGATATTGCTCATTCAGCAGCAAAAATATCAGGAGACATTAGAATTTTTAAAGTAATGTAGGAGATCAAGAAAGATTTGGTGCTGAAGCTGCTGGCTGGGCCAAAAACTTTCTTAAGATTGAGTTGCTCCTCAGACTAATAGGTAAGGTAATCAGAATATTGTGTGAAATAACACTTTATATGATTTCAGATGTTGGCAAAGAAATGAGCTGGTAGGAACTGTGCGCCTTCTGGTTGAAAAAGAACATTTCATCCTGAATTTTCAAAGTCCAGTGACAGTTATTGGTACACTGGTTATCTTTGCTACATTTGCTTGGGTCTACTACAAGGCATTTACTTTCTCCTAAATATTGTATTTGTAAGATAATACGACATATTATGTTCAGTAATAAAATTACGTAAAACAGTCTAATTATTTCTTTGTAGTGGTTGTTTTTACATTGAAACCTATCTCTGGTTATGATTTTACTGCTTCACAGCTAATTTTTGTAGACCTATTTTGTATACAAATGTAGGTACATAATCATAAATATACCAAAGCAGATATATGTTCAACCTAGAAAAAGGATCTATTTTTAGCTACGGATTATTCTGCGATCCCAATGTTTTCGAGAGAGACATCACACGGTTGTTGTGATCATGGGAACAATACATGGTCATTAAAATACATTGTTATAATGCAACTTTACTGCATTCCTGGCTAATTCAAACAAGGTCGCATCCCAATTAATTTGGATTAGCTGGACTCTTATGTGTTTTGCTTTCACATTGTCACTAGTGTACATGTTGCTCGAATTCGAGCAATTGAAAAGTATTACAGGAGTTATTTCAAAATGAATAACAGTCATATTTACAATGAGTTTAAAAGAGTCAACTCAAAGATTACCGGTGTGTAACTCAGATCATATTTATCTTCGTTATTGATAAACCTAAAGCATTCCGGCCGAACTTCTCCTTCTCAAAGTGCCTCGTTGTACAGGCAATACAGGTCATTGATAGAGGGCCAATTGAGAACGAAAAGTCGTTTTGGGGTAGTGTTAGGGCGCATTTGTAACCTAATAGTTGAGATTGTCTAGGGTCAGGTGCTGACTGTGATGAGTTAAGCCTATTACCATCGATGTATATAACTCCCTTAACGCGCCACTGTTCTGTAGCTGCGGTCGTTATCACGATTACGCCTCTTGTCTATGTTTCGTTGTCGTCGCGTCGGAGGCATTTAAAAGGAAAAACAACAAATAAACAAATTATCGCTAGACAAAACAACGATAAATGCACAAATTTAAGTTACAATCATACTAACTCGATCCGTCATAGCGACACAAAACAACGATAAATACACAAATTTAAGATATAACAACCATACTAATACGATCCGTCTTGGGGGTTATATTTATTTAATTTCAACTAAGTCATTAAAATGTTTGTAGCACATGTTTCCTTAAATTGCAACTAAAATATTAACAGCAATTAAATTATCCAGCTGATTATAATGTAAACAAATATGATCGTCATAAGGATAACATGGGAACTTTAAAAGCTACTGGAGCAGAGCCCACAAGGGACTTTTTCAAAAATGTAAGGTCAGTTTGCAAATCTACACACCTAGACAAACATTTTGGTATATAATATGTGGGGTAAAATCTTAACACAAAAAAGCCTTATTGTTTGCAAAGTTTTATGTAGCGTATTAATAATATAGATAGATTGTATTGTATTGTAAAAAAATATACAGTATTGATGGTTCGTTTTTGTCTGTTTTTATCGGGGAACGGAATCGTCCCATTCCCATTTTTTAGGTTTGATGACAAAATTCACAGCTTATTCAAGGGATTTCTACGGTTGACAAAAAAACATTAATTCATTCACGGTTAAAAGAGTCCCACAGTTTGGATTCTTGGATTTTGGACATTTTTAACTCCATCTCTCCTTGTTTCGATTTTAGCACAATTTGTATAAAAACAATATAAAGTAGAATTTTGGTTGAAAAAAAATTAAATAAAAATGTTCCAACTATTTCAAGAAGACCTGGTTAAATTTAATCGGTAAAGATAAATTCAGTGATAAGACAACACTTACAGGCTGGTTTTCTGCAGATTTCCCCCTCGCACTGGGTGGTATCATCTCAGGTGTAAGGGCTGGTGGAGGATCTTTCCCTTGTAGTTTCTGACTGATAAGCCACATAGCCAGGGCAAACTGTTCCCCATTCAGTTTACCCGTTTGCTTCATGTCACATAGGCCCCTAAAACATGACCATTGAGAATAATAATAAGAATCGTTTATTGCCGTTAAACATGTACATGCAATGGGCAAAGTCGCATTTGAGTTCAAATTCAAATTATCTTTATTTATATTATGTACAAAACGTACAATAAATAGTGTCAAGCTTATAATTACTATGTACAAATACTTAACCTAAACAAAAAATACAGAAAATAAAACTATCTATAGCTGTATACGTTCATAAAAAGTTCATCTATTGAGTAGATGGGTTTTTCTATCAAAAATTCTTAAGTTTTTGTCTAAACTTTTTTTTATCCTTAATATCTTTTATTTCATTTGGTATTAACTTTAAAAACTGTACACCGGCATATGAGGGCTTATTTTTATACATTTCTAAGTTGGGTTTTGGTAGAACTATATTATTTTTGTTCCTAGTGTTGTATTGATGGGTTTCACAATGCGTTTTAAATTTTTCCTGGTTATTTTTTACATGTACGATACATTCCAGTACGTACAAACTAAACACAGTTAATAGTTTCAAATTGACAAAATGTTGCTTTACAGACTCGTTATAATCTAGATTTAACATTATTCTTATTGCCTTTTTCTGTAAAACAAGTATCTTATCTAAATTTTGTTGTTTTGTTGTAAGTTGTTATATTCAAACAGAAGGACAGATCTAAACATAACCCAAATATTCTATAGAGTAATGCAAACCTTGGTATAGTAATTAACCTGACCTTTCTCACATTTTTGATCATGTAATTCTTTTATACATCAATATTTATCTAGGGTTAAAATTACCCAAATTTTATAAAATAATGCGGCTTTTACCATCCTTATAGACCCACATTTGCCTCAATATAAAAACATAAAAACAAAGGATTTTTTTTTTTGTCCTAAGGATGCTAGGCACGAGCCTGGGATTGTTTTTCACATTACTTCAGGCTAGACCTAGGGGTTGCGGCATTATCACTTAGATAAAATCCATTGGTGACTTGGCGGGGATCGAACCCGGGACCTCAGGGACTGAAGTCCTGCGCTCTAATCCCTGATTAAAACAAAGGATTAACAACAAATTAGAAAAGTATTTTTTTCACTTCAACATGGGAACTTTTCCAACAAATATTTGAGTGCATTGTATTTTTCATTAACTTTTCTGGTTTTATAAGCTTTTTTCTGCCTAATCCAATTTCTCTAACTTTCCTAACCATCAGTGAGTTTTGGCCTTTTTCAAAACACTCCTCTATCTTTCCCTATAATTAAACTAATATCCCAAACCTTCCACGTTCGTGGAAACTCTGTTAAATTATGCTGTATTTTTAAATACTAATAGAAATACTGACTACATCGCAAGGTCTTACCATATGTGAGCGAGCACTTGTTGTGGAACGCCTGACTGCAGAAATACATTTTTGATCTCATGTCCCGAGACGAAGCCGTCTTTGTCCACGTCAGCGTGGTGGAACATAACGTCATATCTTTGTCTCTCTTCAGCACTAACTACCCACGGTGCCTGGGGAGCTGGTGGCACGGCTGGCTGCAAGTATAAACACAAGGGAAATAAAATTGTTAACTCTTTTTACTGACCCCAAATGAACTGTTGCTCTGCTTAACTGCTTCCGTCCGAGGAATATAGAGATTGGTTAATCAATCCTGAATTTTAAAACTGTTGGTAAAAACCTTTATGGGGCAGATTCAGCTCTCATCCATATTGCAGCAATAAAATAGAACCGTTTTCATGCAGGTCTAACTTTGTTGACTGCCTGACTTTTCAAGTAAATGGACGAGAAATACATACATAATTATTTACCATAAATGTACTGTAATTTCATAGTGTATTTTTTTCTAAGAAAGTGTTCCTATTAGGCATTATTAGGTTATGTAGGAGACAAATTGATTTTAAGCAATGATTTACTGCAAATAATTGGTCAGCTATGTTACCAAGAAAACCACTTAGGCTATATCTCTAAACAGTCGTCTGTTTTTACAGATCTGTTTGGTTAAACAAGAAAGGCTAGTCTTGTGAGGATTGGTTAAAATAGGGTGAGTCTACTATCCTTTGATGATTAATTTATGAAAGATTAAGGAAAATTACAAAAATGATCGCTGTCCACAGAGCACATATTGTGTGTCTGGCAACATGGCACAACTCCTTAGGCATAATTCACACCGAACGGATGTCGGGCGGAGACGTGGCACGGACGAGGCACAGACGTGGCAGTGACGTGGCGTGTTCAATGCACACCGAAGGGACGGTGAAGGGACGGTACAGTGGCGAGACAACCTGTATGTAGACTAGAAGCTTTGGTTTTTGCTTATTTCTATTAATGTCAATGGTGTTAGTTAATTTCTGTCAACTTAATTAGTACAAACAAGGGAATTGTTCTACTTCCTCACAAAATTTGATATTAAATTCAATGTCGTCTCGCATAGTGAAGAAACAACTCACAATCTACACACAAAAATAACTCTACACAACAAGGTTTGTAAGTACAAGCACACTATACACAAGAAGGTTGGTAAGTACAGTACAATATTTGCAGTCCGAACAACGGGCGCGCTACGGACATGCCACTTCCGATACGCCACGAGGGACGCCAAAGCGACGTGGCGGTGGCGGGAGGGCGGCCGCCCGCGCCACGTCACTTGTGTGTGCATTGACCAATTTGTTTACATGGGGAGGCGAGGAACGGACATATGTCCTCGCCACGTCCGTGCCACGTCTCCGCCCGACGTCCGTTCGGTGTGAATTGGGCCTTAGTTAGACCAAAACAACATGCAATCTTGGTAAATTATTAACATGCTTATAGGTTAAGTAAAGGTTACAGTACCACGAAAAACAAAATTCAAAAAGCATGGAGCATCTCCAACCTGACAAAATAACATAAAACTTTCAATTTCAAAATTGTAAACACTGACAATTCAGATTAGGCTAATTAAGTAATTCCATAATAGTCAACTGTTTCAAAACAGTTGGTACAGGTTGGTTATTTGTTTCATGTTCACTAATAACTTGTGAATATTTTATTTAAATGATTGGCACAACTCTGAATGATGATACCCAGGGATGCAATGAATATACGGACACGATGCCACTATAGATCTGAATTTTGGAACAGTGCGGTTATGAAAAAATTTTTAGTAAGAGAGGACTTAATTAATGTAAGGACATTATTGATCTTTGTATTTTTCAGAGAGTTTACAGCACCTGCTATGGAAACATTTGAGTTTTCTGATACTTTGGACTTGTCATTAAGCAATTTATAGGGATATTTTATGTGTAAATTATAAAACATTTATGCTACAACAGCAATGATAGATAATTCAAACATTTGCTGTGCCACAATTAGGTGCAGTGACATTTTTACTTATTACAAAGTAAAAAAAAATATCTCGTGGTTCACACAACTCATTGGTAAAAAAATTTTCACATTAGAACAAAATGTAGGCCCTACGATTAAAATAAATTATAAGCACTGGATAAACATCATTAAAATCTGTTGTGTTTAGAGACATATGTGGTTGAACTGTAGGATTGGTATAATTTACACACAAGATCAAGGATATCTTACAACTTCACATGGGAATGTAATATCAAATCAAATATTTATTTATTTCATGCACATTTGATCATAATTTAGTTCAAGAATTATTTTTATGGCTCTTTTTGTTCTTTCAAGATGCTGTCCAAGTTTATTTTCCCTGTTGCTCCAAAAAGACACAATCCAAAACTTGTATGTACTTATATCTAGGTCTAGGTATCCATAGTCAAGGTCTACCCATGCTCATGCATACCTTAGCATGCTCCACAGGTTTTGTGATGGGTGCTATGGGTATGATAGGTGCAGGAGCTGCATGTAGAGGATCTTTCCTCTTCCCTGGAGGCAGCAGTTCAGGAGGTACGCTGTTAGGGATTGCGTACTTTTCCAACGCTTTGTAAACCAAGTGCATTGCCTAAAACAGCACAATGTTAGAACTTTTGGATCCCCTAACCTAGAATTAGTGATGAGTGAGTCAGTGAGTCAGTGAGGGCTTTGCCTTTTATATATATAGATTATCAGATTAAAATGCGTATCACTATATTTTAGGTGTATAATCGGATGGAAGAAATAGGGGTCACGTGACAATTATTGTTTAAATGGTGATTTTCCCCACTTAAACTGCCAAAATGTGTCTCTATGCACGTACACTAGATCTTCTGAATCATTCAATTTTAAGTGATCACTTGATTCCGGTACGTAGGACGGGCCTAGAGCTCATACTTTATTAGGGATGGTCAAGTCTCGAAATTTCGGGAAATTTTCGGGAAATTTTAAATCTCGTTACACGAGACGAGATTTCTTTTTGGCCGAGATTTTTATCGAGACGAGAATTAAAAAAAAAAAAAAAAATAAATTAAAAACGCCTGCAGAAAGTCAATGCAATACCCGCAATACAGGAGCGAGTTGTAGTTGCGTTTCCTTTGCGAAGGCGTTCTTATTTAATTAATTATATAAATGTAAATATTACTTTAATTATTTTAATAATATTACTTTAATAACATTTGAGAAGTTTTGTTAAGTGTAAGCAGTGTGAGGAATGTTTTATTACTATAAAAAGTCAAAACAAGTAACTATTTTATAAAAATTAATATTCCTTTTATTTTATGATTTATTTTATTTTAGGATAAGTTGAACTCTATCCTAACTGATATCACTATGTTTCCTAATCGTAGGAATTTTTAATAAGTTAGGCGTGATTAATAAAAAAATGTTATGCTGATGTTTTTTAAGAAAAGATTGTAAATATTCTTGCCTATTATCATTATTTTTGTATTTAAACAGTCATCTAACAATGTTACAAAATCAGGTAAAAATTTTGAACGTGCATTTCCCGTTGTGTATGAGAAGGGAAATCCCGTCTCGATCTCGTCTCGAAATTTTATGAGAAATAAAAAATCTCGTCTCGTCTCGTCTCGAACTAAAAATTCAATCTCGTCCATCCCTATACTTTATAAAGTAAAAACAAAAATTTTAATAGAAAGAAAGAACATATTTTTTGTATACTATCTCAAATTTAGACCAGATGGTGTCATAGATTTAAGTATTAGTTGATGAGCTTGCTCAAGCTGTCTTAATTTTAAGTCTGATGCGTCTTTTGCCAATTTTCTTATTTTGAAAAGTGTGTGATTAGTTTATTTGTATAGTTATAGAAGTAATTGTATGCTTTGTATGATTTTTATGGTTTAGAAATAAATGATTGAAAAATTAGATGTGTTAGTAAATTAAACCTGGCCAAACAAAAACATAAAAAAAACTTACCACTACAAACTCATGTCTGTCCAGACTTCCGTCTTTATCCATATCCGCCAGATCCCATATCTTCCCTAGCGTGTCCATTGGTAGCTTGGAATCCAACAAAAGCCCCTTGACCTGACAAAACATCGTTAGAATAGTGATTAGTAATGTCAACATTGTTTGATTGAGAGATTAAGGAACTAATCAGTGATGATGCATTTGTTAACAATTTATTGGATCTGTAAATATTAAATATCTAAATTGAGAAACTGAAATGTATTGTTAAACATGTTAAAGTTTTTATGCTTGTAATTTTCTACATTTTTGTAAGGGCCCAAACTATGATTCTAGTACCGGTATTTGTAGAGTGAGTGTTTCAACAACTTTAAAACTACAACCAAAAAAACTGATCCAACTATAAACTTCAGCCTGTCCTACATTTTCCTCTCTAATCTACGATCACCATTAGGTCTTAACCAAGTTTTATTCTTTTCATAATCCTTTAAAGATTTTTCATAGGAAATTGTTAGCTAGTATTAAAATTTGTATACAACGTTTACCTACCTTGTTCCCTGGAATGACTCCATTGAGCGGTTGAAGAGAGTCAAAGAGTTGGTCGTACTTTTCTCTCTCGTGGGGTTTAACTGCCCAATCGCTCAGTGTGGCTTGTACAGAGTTTATGATGTTGTTATGTAGCACTGCAGGAACGTCCGCCTATTGTCAAAACATCACAAGATTATAAGTGTACAGTTATGTAAAATATGCTATATAGCACTTGTTTCAAGAAAGTTTCATTTCAATTGACCCAAAACAAAAGCAAATTTGTTAGGATTGTTGACACAGGGTCCGACAGAAAAACCTCCCCTAAAAGGGATGCTAATAAAAACAAAACCATATAAGGTAGAACATTTTTATTTATACCAACTAAAAGTACATATTCTGCCATTTTAGAAAATGTACCATTCTTAAGGTCTACCATTAGTCTTACTTTTTAAATTAAACATCTCTTAAATTGCTTCCTTCACTGTCGACACACTGGTTGAGTCTTTCTCTGAAGTTACCCTTTACTCTTTGAGTCATTTCTGGTGGAATAGCTTCAACCTCTTGTGTAATTGCTTCTTTCAGGGCTTGTAAAGACTGTGGACATTGTTCATAAACTTTTGATTTTAAATAGCCCCAAAGAAAAAAAATCACAGGGCATCAAGTCCGGCGATTGTGGGGGCCAGCCAATGTCACCACGCAAAGAGATCACATGGCCAGGAAACATTTCCTTCACCAATGCCAGTGACTGCCGCGCTGTTTGGGCTGTAGCGCCATCTTGCTGGAACCACACGTTCTCAATTTCACCAAAAAGCTCCCTTAGTTTTGGTTGGAGAAAGTCGCGGAGCATGGCACAATAGCGTTCACTGATGAAGGTTAAATTCCTGTCATTTTCTTCGAAAAAGTAAGGTCCGACCACTTCGGAATTGTAAACAGCACACCATACTGTTACTTAGTGCTTGTGGGTTTTGTTCAGACCAGTACCTACAATTTTGGCTGTTCACTGTTCCGGATAGGTGAAAGTGTGTTTCAGAAACAATCACTACATCTTCGGGACGAATGTTTCGAAGAAGGTCTCGGCTCGGCACAACCTTACACGGACACCTCAGTCTCGTTCACTCAGTTCTTGTGTGGTTACAATTTTGTAAGGATGCATTTTTATATCTCGATGATGCAAGATTCTTTTCACACTTTGATCAGAAATCCGTAATGCTGCCGCATGCTTTTTAGCGGATCGTTGAGGAAATTGTTGAACTGAAGCTCTAACTGCATCAACGTTTCCGGGGCCTGTTGCAGTCCGTGGTCGTCCAGGTGGTTTCTGTTTTAATGCGGAACCTGTCCCACTAAAGTTAGAAACCCAAGAATAAATTGTTTTCTTATCGGGAACGGGGTCTAATTATTCTAATTTGTTTGGGGTCTAATTTTTCTAATTTGTTTATTTATAACACAAGTGTTATTTATATGATTAATGCTGTTGCAATAGGAAATGTCTACTCATTATTCTGTTAAAGTGACAAAGAAGGAAAACTGAACCGTTTGCTGCCAGAAACAAGAAAATGAAATGTAGTAATAAAAATGTGTTTATCATCCCGCGCGTGCTTTGCATTGGCACATGGGATTATGTATTTAATTTAAGAATTGCATGAATAAAATTGTTTGAATTGAATTGAATTGAAATATTCTCATGTGTTATGTATAGTAGGTTAGTTTTGTGTATGCTGTACCAGTTTGGACTCTTTCCCATTCAGATAAGCCTGTTGCCCTCAGAAAAAATCAAAAAATCCTAACACAATTTTATATTGTTTCTATTGACTATGTATGAGTAATAGTAACATCATGCAAACTCATTAAACATATTGTAACATTTTCCTCATGTGAGCTTGTAGCTCACAAAATACATGATACATTTCCATATTTGTATTTTCTTATTTACCCCTACACGTTTAAATATTTTTTAAACTAATAATTTGAAACACTAAATGCATTGTGCTATTTTCCATCAACCCTAAAGGTTATATACACGCTTAAGGAATCCTTTGAGTTAAATAAATACATGCCAACACGTGTTTCTCATTAAATTGAGAGATAAGAAATAATAGATTATATGTAATCAATTAAATGTCTGTAGTCCCTACTGCAGTTGAATTAGTGTGTTCAATTGATCAATACAGAATCAGTTATCATTGAGTCAATTATAAGATAACCGAGTACATTTCCTAACAGCAAAATATTTATCCAGCCAAATTGAACCTTAGCCAACAACTTGTGCCCAAACAGCCGCAATTCAAGAATGTTTGCAGCAATAACATGAAACTGCCTTCAAAACATCCACGGAATATTAAAATTATTTTTAACTCAACCTTATTTTAAAGAGGTAATGAACCTTGGATTTTAATTCCTGGAATAACTGAATATACTTACTTATTCAAAAACTTTTTTTAGCAATATTTGATAAAAGTTAAGTCTTGAATAATCTGTTACATATAATTTTTAATTCTTAATTAGATACTTCATTAGACAAATCACTCAGTTACTCAGTATTGTTATAATCTTTCAAAAGAATCGAGTATTTAATTTACACTTAGGAAAGCATTTTTGCCAAATGTATAAAAGAGGAGGAACTTATAATAAGAATACACTACTGAAGTTTATTTAACCTGAACACTCCCTATTTCAAAATCCAAGTCAGAACCGATGCAGTTCACAGTCTTGATTTAATAACAGTCACTCTGAACTGAAGATTGTACAACAGAATGTCATAATGATTATATTAACCCCTACTCCTTGTATAATTTTTATCTTACTATTTGAAATAAAATGAGTTCTTTGATTAAAGTCCCTGCTATTATTGTTTTTTATACCTTCACACTTAAAAGAAAACCTTCTTGTTTTACTAAATTTTAAATTACTGGAAGTGCACTCTAAATATAGTTCATTTGGGGAAAACTATAGAAAGGCTCAATTTTAGTTACTTGATGCTATGTGAACGTTTGTTGTTGAAGGCATAGCTAATATTTTCCAGGCAACTAGCTAGCCTATTTCTAACCATTTAGAAAAAAATGGGATATCTTAAAAAGTTCATAAAAATTTTAGCAAAAACACTCTTACTGATACTGCACTCCAGAAAACATTACTTACCATCTTAGGGGGAGGAACATCTGTTAAAATATTAGCTATGTTGACATCTCTCCCGTTTTGAGCCAGTGATACGAGCTTCAGAGCCACAAAGAATCCAGGTTTGTTCAGATATCCCTTTCCATTTGGATCAGAAAGGTCCCAGATCTGTAAAATTATATTATTTTAAACCATACTATTGTTAAGAATTGCAATGCCTTAGCTGGTAAATTAAAATTTAGCCAAGAGTTAGGTCTTTGGACAAATTACTATGAGCAGGTGAAACAAAAAAGTTAAATAATAAACAATGACTCATTCAATTTATTGTATCGTTTGGCCTATTTCTCAAAGATATGGTCTATTTTGTTTTTGTTACACACAATTTAAGTTAGTTTCGATAAAATATAGAGCTCTGCCACAGATTAAAGTAAATCAAATTTTTAAATACTGCTAAATATTAAACAAAGTTGTGCATACTCAACTGCAAAAATAGGATTTTGGGAGGATAGCAGGCTTACTTGGATGGAAAAAGAGTCCAATCTGGCACAAGAAACAAATCTTTTATACTATAAGTTACACAAAATTAGAATATTTCACTGTGAGCATTTTCAATTAAGGAAGATTAGAGGCAGAGACCTCAAACCTTGACGTTTGATGATCATAAGCCATATTAGACTTTTCCCATTCAGATAAAATTGCTATTCAATTCTAAAAAGAAATCCAAAAATTCTAGGCCCATGTGCTCTATATTACATTCTAATGTCAAAAGTGATTAAGACTACTGATAACATAAAATAGTACTATGTTACTAAGGAAGGAAACTAGTATCATCCAAATAGCCTAAATAAACATACTGGTACTGACAGAAGTTTCGTCTCCAGTTTTGTCCTCAGAGTGATAACGTTGGTTCTTATCAAATGTGTTATCATTGCTTGATAACCAAACAGTTCCTCTCTATCTACTCTGTAATAGCCTAGTTTTACATTTGTAAACAAGTCTCTGACAAGATTCACCTCAATGTCAAAGACTAAGGGGAAAATTGTGTCAAACATTTCTTATAACAGCCCCTATTTCATAATTTAATTCTTACCTTGCTGAGGGTTCCATCTGATAAGCCAGACTTTTTTAGAAACTTAGCTGCATCTAAAGCACCAACACTTCCGTGATTGTTTGGATCAACCTGGAAAAATTATCCATACATACATTGGTAAATTGATAGCTATCTAATCGCTGTGAAAATTAGAGTCTATTAGGTGACACATGATGTAAGCATGATTGAAAACGGCCAAAAAACACTTTCTCAGCTCATCAATGAGAAGGCTAAGGTCTCCGATGAATTGTGTAAACAGAATCTACAACACCATCCATTAACAAATCGGGATTTTTTCTTACATTGTTAGAATTGAGGCATTTGGTTTCCCTTAAGTCTAGTCCCAATCCAGCTAGACAGAAATCACTCATGGAACTTCCTGTACCAAAAGATCAGACTGCATTGAAGCCAGTTTTGGGATTTTTTGCCCATTATTCAAAACAGATCCACAGATTTTCAAACAGAATACAGAATCTGACTCAAGTTGGGTCATTCCAATTGTCACATAAAGCGGTATGTGTGTGTGTGTGGTGTATGTGTGTACATAGCTTAGTATAAATATAGCCTATCAAGTTAGATACTTACCAGCAGGTAATATGATTCATATATGGGGTTATGGTTCCCAGCCACCTGGAAAACATAAATCAACCATTTAGGCCTATGGCTCCAATTAACTTAGTGCTAAGCTGGGATAGTGCTACATTAACATATAAGGATATTCAAATCCCGAGTAAAAGGAAATTAGATTTATGTAGGTTAGGTGAAAATCTTTGTCAGTTCTGAATTAATTGGCTTGATTTCAGCGAATTTCCCTATGGGGAAGTAGCTATTAACGTAGGTGGCATGGTAAGACCTAGGCCTGGGACCGATTTACTTTTTCATTTTGATGTCCCCAGAGGCCAAAAACATCATTCGTTCAAATTTTTATATAACTTATGTATACAGGGTGTCCCACATAAGGTGTCTCAATGTACAAGGATGAAATAAAATTATTTCCAACTAAATTGACCCCAAGGAATAACGTAAAAATATTTTTAGATTTTTCCGATACAGGGTGTGTCAAAAACTGGGGGTCACTAGTTCGAATCTCGGAATTTTCAAATGTAAACATATGTCCCTATAGGGAAGTAGCTATTAACGTAGGTGGCATGGTAAGACCTAGGCCTGGGACCGATTTAATTTTTCATTTTGATGTCCCCAGAGGCCAAAAACATCATTCGTTCAAATTTTTATATAACTTATGTATACAGGGTGTCCCACATAAGGTGTCTCAATGTACAAGGATGAAATAAAATTATTTCCAGCTAAATTGATCCCAAGGAATAACGTAAAAATATTTTTAGATTTTTCCGATACAGGGTGTGTCAAAAACTGGGGGTCATTAGTTCGAATCTCGGAATTTTCAAATGTAAACATATGTCATGCTATACATAATTTTAAAGGTATTTAATAGAAATACATTTTGGTGAAAACAGAAATGAATGATCTTTTTCCATTTAAAAATGGTGGCAGTTTATTTAGAAAAAATCAATATCTATATATATAATACATGAAGCCGTTTTTTGTTAACGCAACTCCTCCCTTATTTGTGGACCAATATCAACGTTTAAGGTGTCAAAAGATTTGTCTCAATATGTAGTTTTGCAATAAGGTTTTAGAATTTAAAAATTCCTACTCTTAAGGGTGTGAGACCCTCTCAAAGGTCGGGTTTTCCCCATAAGAAATACATAGAAAAATTACTTACTAAATTAGAAAAAATACATACAAAAACAGCTGTTTATAAAAAGAAACTCATTAGCTTTTTGTGAGTAAATATTGTAACAATTCAATATTTTCAATAATATTTTTTTAATAGAATAATTTAATTTCCACCATATGTTTTCCATTTTATCTAAATGTCAATCCCTTTTCAAACCATATATAGTAACTAGCAGAGTGCCCGTCCTTCGTACGGGATTGGCATATAAGTATAAAATGCTTAGTACTCAACCTTTGCGTTTGCAATGGGGGAGGACACAGTATAATAAAATTTGCTTCTTTATTTTTACGGTATGCTATAGTATTACACATCTACCATAGCTATAATGTTCTACCACTTCACCCAAACAATAGAAAAAATTAATTATTAAAGATTCACAAAATATCACAAATTATTCGTGAAATTAAAACATAAACAAAACTGTAAACAGACGGTTCTCATTGCGTATCACAGTTTTTTGTTGCTGCTTTTCAAATTAGCTGTTTTCATAAATAAAAAAAATAATAGTGCTGCACCCTGTAGGTAAATCTTATAACTTTTAATGCTTTTGCATACCACAGAATATACCTTTTTAGTTGCAACAGCTGACTAAATTCTTTAATTCCATTTAAATATGAGTACTCATAAGGTTAACATGGGAAACTCCAGAGCCACTGGGGCGGAGCCCGAAAGGATTTTTGAGATAATAATATGCCTGTATGTTAATCGGGAATGTGAGCTATCATCATGCCAAATTTTAGCCCAATCCGTCCAGTAATTAATGTGTGATTGAACTTCAAACAAACAAACAAACACACAAACTTTCACATTTATAATATTAGTAAGATTAATTGTCCATAATTAATTTAATACAATATAATATAGAAATTTTCAAATAACATAATATCATATAAATATATAATAGCCTATAACTTTTGTAACAAAATTGCTTCAAATTCTATATAATTTTATTTAAATAACTTTTCAAAATTATAATTTAGCTCTCTAGCAAATGAAATTTATTATAATATATAAGTGTAAACAGTGGCCTACAATTTTATGTGATTAAGTCAGCATTGACATATGTGAGTGCAACAATGCATCAGACCTTCATCACTTCCAATAGAACCAAGATAGTATGCAGATGTAAACTGAATACTCCATATTTAATATCAAAATTTTATAAAAAAAGTACATTATTCGGACAAAATTAGTGGAATTTGTTGAAAGAAGACCCATCCTTGTTACAAACATTCATCATTTATAACATCAAGAACTTTACTTCAAAGAAGACATCAATTTTGGTGAGATTACTCCAATAGACATTTTCCCCTTTGGAAGCCATTAAAACCTTTTTTAGGACTAACCTTTGGACATTTGTACTCAAATTCAAAGTCAAGAACTAATAGAAGCTTAACTTATTCAAAATTATTATTAATTCAACCAATCTATAATTCAAACATACTTTATATTTTAAAACAAAATTTAATTAGGCTTATATCACAAGATTAAATTCAAATGCCGCTCGATCACCCCACCTGAGATCAAGATCCTTGCAGTAAATTATAACATTGAACCTAAATAATTAAAACCATTGTAATAGGCCTAGCCTAAAATTGTTAAAGTAAATTCATCTCCCACTGTTTGAACAATTTATTGTGAACCCCTTTTCTTTTCTTTTACTATCAGTTTTGTATTATAATTAATAAATTTAAGTTTCGATACTGTACATGGAGTTTCCATTGTAGACTTAAGTTTAAGGTTGATTACAATATTAATGTTTGTAATATTCAGTAGGTTAAGACCAAGTTAAACAGTTAATCAGTTTTGTTGGAAGAACAGAAAATGCCTCAAGTTCAAAGAAGAAATATTGAAAACGGGAGGAGGAGACAATTAATAGTAAGATATCTTTATGCGTATGAGAAGAGTAGAAAAAGAGAGGCCTGGTCTAACAGATACCCATCTAGATACACCACATTCACTTGGTGAGATGAATAATACTTGCCAGTTCTGCTATGTAATTTACTTTGGAAGTGAAAAAATATATACGAAGCACATAGTGTTGCCATGGTGGTAAAGTAAACTTGCCTGATGTCAGATAAAATGAATGCATGCAAGAAATGTTTACTTCTGACACTGGCAGATCGAGATATTTAAAAACATTAAGTAGTCACTATAATAATGCCTTGCTTATGATAAGTTCAAGTAGAAAGACTATACCAAATCTTGGCGGACCTTATGTTTTTATTGTAAACTGTTGTATTACTCGCTCTACTTCAATTGAGGAAAACACAATTGGATTGTTTACTTCTAGGATATGTTGCCAGTTCCTCGGACAAACTTATACAAAGTATTTTGACTAAATTCACCAACACAATCCAGATATTTCAAGTCAAAAATAAGAATTTTCTAAAACTCAATTGCTATTGAAAGTTTTAGTGGCAATATTAGACCAAACATAAGTGAAGAATTAGTGTTCATGTATTCAACGATCGAGTAGTTGCGGTCAAGTTTATTTTTATGATTCAGGAGAGGTAAATAATATACGCTGCTCAAAAAGAGAAAATGATCATTTCTATCCGAAAATCTTATAGCTACAAGAGTTATCCAACTTATTTCGATAAATGAATCCATACTTTTAAAACTTTGGGACAGGTATTAAGATAAATTCCACTGAACAACGTGAGAAAGTTCTGATGCGGGGCATATACTGTGACTGACAGACAACACGTTTACGTTAACTAATGTTCAATGGTGTTGCTGCTTTAGCCTATTCAAAGCAGATTATGGCTGCCCAGTTGGTAACCCAGAGTTCATGTTTAAAAAATGGAGCACATAAAATGGTTGATATCACCCCACTTTTCAGGATTCTCTACGTTGAAAATTCGTTGGTTTAGGGGGATGTCTCAAAAATAAAAGAAATAAAATTAAATTAATTAACACAGGTTATCAGTAAAGCAAAAGTGTTCTTCAATTCTCAATGCTGGACAAACTTTGTTGCAACAAGTTAACTCGAATTGAAACAGATCATTTAGCATTCATCAGAAGTTATCAGTTAAAACTTAGAGCAGAAATAATGTATATGATCCTTGACGACGCAAATAGAGATATTTAAAATTAGTTTGAAATTAGTTAAAAGATGTAACTGGAATTACTCAACTTTAAGCATAACGTTTTTTTTTTTCGGTGTTATGTTTCAAACTAACACGGGTTCTCTAGTGTATTAATACTCTGTGTTTCCTATACCAATGCACTTAGCCCTTTTCCAGTTGAATTTTCTTACTTGTTATGAAATTAGCTTTACAGTGATATGCTAGAAGTAACGGTTTTTTTGAAATCATAAAAATTCAAAAAAATGTTTTAAAAAAATATTCTAAAAAAATAAAAATTTATTTTAGAAAATTTGCAAATACAAATTGTTTAAAATTTTTAAATAGCAACATGTCAATGAAAAATGATAAAATGATATGTCAAGTGGCACATCATTTTATAGGTTTTTCAATTCTCAACTTTGTAATTTAGACTTACTTCGTATCTCTTTTGGCTTTTATGTAAATAACAAAAAACCTATTTTTCCTATATGAAATGCATGTTAATTGAGTTTTAACCCTAAATTAAATGGGGCCTTTAGTGTTAAACCATAGATTAAGCATTATCTATTGTTAAACCCAAATAACATGCATTCAATAAAGGAAAAGTAAATTTTTGTTATTTACACAAAAACTAAAAGAGATACGAAAAGCCAAGAGTCACGTATTTACGAATTGTTTACTTTAGGACACAAATTGAAATAGGTTTAAAAAAATGTCTGTAATAATTAGCAATTGCTCAAACTCGAGCAACAGGTACACTAGTCGATATTTATTTGGTTCAATATTAATATTGTATCAAA